AAAACTGGATTTCTTCCAGTTTTTCTTGATACTCATGCCCAGTGTTTTCATTTCTGAGAAAAGCAAGAATTTCATTCCTCAACCCAAAAAACTGTTGCAGGCAATTTCCAGCACTTTGCCAGCACACTTCACAGTACAATGAAATGTCACCATACTCAGCTTTGCATTACATCAAGTTTTTTGCGGAAGCCCTCAATATGTCCATAAAGCTGGGAGATATTTTGTGTTTTGCCTTGTAGTTTTAGGTTTTAAGTATTTTGATGAGATGTTAAATCTGTCAGGAAAGTAAGATTATTTAAAAACTGGATTTCTTCCAGTTTTTCTTGATACTCATGCCCAGTGTTTTCATTTCTGAGAAAAGCAAGAATTTCATTCCTCAACCCAAAAAACTGTTGCAGGCAATTTCCAGCACTTTGCCAGCACACTTCACAGTACAATGAAATGTCACCATACTCAGCTTTGCATTACATCAAGTTTTTTGCGGAAGCCCTCAATATGTCCATAAAGCTGGGAGATATTTTGTGTTTTGCCTTGTAGTTTTAGGTTTTAAGTATTTTGATGAGATGTTAAATCTGTCAGGAAAGTAAGATTATTTAAAAACTGGATTTCTTCCAGTTTTTCTTGATACTCATGCCCAGTGTTTTCATTTCTGAGAAAAGCAAGAATTTCATTCCTCAACCCAAAAAACTGTTGCAGGCAATTTCCAGCACTTAGCCAGCGCACTTCACAGTACAATGAAATGTCACCATACTCAGCTTCCAAATTGTCCAGGAATGCAATAAATGCCCTGTGTCTCTGGGCTTTATTGCCTCCCCTTATTAAATTTACAGTATTTACAACAGTTTTCATTGTCTCACTGAGCCTTATAATTTTTCCACAGAGAGCCTCCTGGTGGATAATGCAGTGGAAAAACAAACAATGTATGCCTTTTTCTTTACACAGTCCTACTAACCCAGTTCTATGACCAACCATTGCTTTAGCTCCATCTGTTGCAATGCCAGAGCACTTCCCAAAACCTCCATATTTAGAAACGACATTATCCAGTGTGTTGAATATGTTNATAAAGCTGGGAGATATTTTGTGTTTTGCCTTGTAGTTTTAGGTTTTAAGTATTTTGATGAGATGTTAAATCTGTCAGGAAAGTAAGATTATTTAAAAACTGGATTTCTTCCAGTTTTTCTTGATACTCATGCCCAGTGTTTTCATTTCTGAGAAAAGCAAGAATTTCATTCCTCAACCCAAAAAACTGTTGCAGGCAATTTCCAGCACTT